TAATATAAAGTGAGGTCAGTTAATCTATAAAACAGTTGGTAGTTATTGGTACCTTTTACTTAAGTACATTTAGAAACCCATACTTCTTTACTTTTACCTGAGTAAAGAAGTTTAGTCAGTACTTCTACTTGAGTAAAGGATGTGTGTACTTTTGCCATCTCTGCCCATGAATCTTCTAACCTCACATCTTCCTCCTCTCCTCTGCAGATACCCATGCGGTGCTTCAGCCCCTCGTGGACCTGGAGGCAGGAGAGTACGTGGTCACAGTGTTTGTGTCGGACTCTGGCAGCCCAGTGCTGAGCGCGTATTCTCAGGTCAATGTGACCGTATGTCGCTGTGACTCCTTTGGAGATTGTAAATCGGAGGCAGGGGCTTTCGTTGGATCCAGTGTGGGAATAAACTTCATCGCTCTGATCATCATCATGGCCAGTATTGCACTCCTCCTGTGTAAGTCTCATCATGAGTCATCCTGTAGAAAACATTTTTGCAACAAATCAAACATGATCCTAAAGTTAATTTTTGTTTAAATTACTCATGAAGATGTGATTTTTTTGGAGTTTAAAATACAAATCATCACAAACATCTACCGCCATCTCCAGTTTGATAGACCAGACATTGACTCAAGTAATTTAGTAAAAGTCCAAACCAAGTCAGAAGGGATTAAGTCACAGGCTATTTCAAGTCAATTCGAGTCCCTAGTTAAGGCAAATCAAATCACTAAATGACAGAAAAATAATCTGATACTATTTTATTTAACAATCGAAAGTTTAAGTCATTTATAAAACATGAATGACATAGATTTAATGTTCTCAAACCGGCCTAATGTGGACATTTTGGATACTTTATATTTAGCTTTTCAGTTTAAAGTAAACATTTTTGGGTTTTTATTGATATTATTTGTCGGACACTTATAGATGTGACTTTGGACTTTTAGAGAGTGGGATGGACAGTTTTCAGAATGTTCTCTTATTTTTTTGACCAAAAAATAAAATGGATGTAGTCTTGATAAACCGTTATTAACCCTTCATTGTGTGCATGTGTCTGCTCGTAGTGCTGCTGCTGCTGACTGTGGCGGTGACTTCCTGTGGGAGACGTCACCATATCAAGAAAGGGACAGGTCTGCTTGTCGGGGAATCAGAAGATGACATCCGTGACAATGTCTTCATCTATGATGAGCAAGGAGGTGGGGAGGAAGACGAGGTAAGACTGCACAACTCACAAGTCAAGAGAATCTCAACGATCTTGTGGTATACTGTATGCCAACATACTCTCACTCCATAAACGTCCAGGAGCTACGCTGGGTCAGGGTCCCGAGGCGTGCAGTTGGGACGCTCCTAGGCTCCTTCAGCTTCATAAAGGGACGCAAATAGCTTTCAACTGATGGCAATGTATTCCCATCAGCGGCGGGATTTGACGCTCATGGAAGCACGGCATTCATTTGTGTCGGCTGCCCTTAAAGGCAATGTGAGCGTCCATTCCCATTGGATAACAGAGAATTGTACACCATGAAGTAAGTATTCTCCTTACTGTCAATTGATTTGACAGTGATATCTGCACTACTCATCAACTCAAAAACACCAGTTTATCCTTGTTGATTAAACGACATTGATAGGTTTTGTGAACATTTTCTTGTTGCCCCAGCTGGTCGACACCTCTTTTAGCAGAAAAAAAGGCTACATTAATGTATTAAATTGATGTTAATCCAGGTGGATGTGGATTTAACGGACGTGACGTTGTATGATTGCGTTGCCAAGCAACAGCTTCGGTTCATGTTAATTTACAAACTCTTCAACTACAACCATAGTTATATTTAAAAACATGTTAGAAGGCATCACGAAATACTTTAAGATTTTCTAAGGTTTATTGACATATAGTTTTGATCAGAATTTCAAATACAAAAGATGAGAACTGGAGAAAACATAAATGCATTTAAGAATGACTTACTAAATCACAATTGGAGGGTAGTATATGAGAGAGACGATATGGACAAGGCATATGATGAATTTCTAAACATTTTTAAATCACTTTGTGACAAAAAGTGTCCTGTGAAACAATGCAGAGAGAGACAAACAAAGTCACCGTGCATGGATCGCTGATGGCCTCAACAATGCAGAGAGAGACAAACAAAGTCACCGTGCATGGATCGCTGATGGCCTCAACAATGCAGAGACAAACAAGTCACAGTGCATGGATCGCTGATGGCCTCAACAATGCAGAGAGACACAAAGTTCACCGTGCATGG